ATAGAACACTCTGTGCCAAATTACAGCCAATTTGGCCTTAAAATGTGTCTAATAGGCAAAAAATACCTTAAATCGGGAGATACGGTTATATGGGGGCCATATCAAAACTTGGACCCAGGGTCCCCATGTTGGATTTCTATATTTGCTTTGACATTAGAAACATGTGTGCAAAGTTTTGGCCGCCTATGTCAAGTGGTTCGGCAGTTAATGAGTTTATACCCAATTTTTGGGTAAATACTCAAAATAGGGGTACCTTTGTATGGGAGCTACCAGTAAACGTGGACCTACATACATAAAATTTTGCATGGACATTTGGTACCCAAAAAGAACACTCTGTGCCAAATTACAGCCAATTTGGCCTCAAAATGTGTCTAATAGGCAAAAAATACCTTAAATCGGGAGATACGGTTATATGGGGGCTATATCAAAACTTGGACCCAGGGTCCCCATGTTGGATTTCTATATTTGCTTTGACATTAGAAACATGTGTGCAAAGTTTTGGCCGCCTATGTCAAGTGGTTCGGCAGGTAATGAGTTTATACCCAATTTTTGGGTAAATACTCAAAATAGGGGTACCTTTGTATGGGGGCTACCAGTAAACGTGGACCTACATACATAAAATTTTGCATGGACATTTGGTACCCAAAAAGAACACTCTGTGCCAAATTACAGCCAATTTGGCCTTAAAATGTGTCTAATAGGCAAAAAATACCTTAAATCGGGAGATACGGTTATATGGGGGCTATATCAAAACTTGGACCCAGGGTCCCCATGTTGGATTTCTATATTTGCTTTGTCATTAGAAACATGTGTGCAAAATTGTGGCCGCCTATGTCAAGTGGTTCGGCAGTTAATGAGTTTATACCCAATTTTTTGGTAAAAACTCGGGTATTTACCCACGTCTTTAAAGTATCGTAAAACTATCCATTCTAAATCGATTTGATAAAAGAAACCTGGAAATAGGGTGCAAGATGTTGTATTACCGATTCAATATAGTAAATACCCAAATAAATACCCACAAATGGGTATTTACCCAATTTACCGGGTATTTACCCAATTTACCGGGTATTTACCCTTTGGGTATTTACCCACTGCCCATCTCTAATCATAAGTATAGGTAAAACAGTGTATATATGAATGTTACAACAATGATATTTTTCCAGGCTTCATAAAGTGGACCCTTTACCTGCGGTATTTTAGAAGACTCTTAATTCAATTTTTATTTAGAAAGACATTTGGAATAAATGTATATTCAGTGCATGTGTTTAAAATCAACGTTTGGAGCAGCTTACTTAAATACCCTCATTTTCATACTCACACCCAGTACTCTGGAACCTTAGGATGGACATTTTTAACTTGTTTTTTTCTTATCTGCTATGCTGTGATCTATTCCAAGTCATATTTGATGAATTATATCAAAAAAAATTCACAAAATTTTAATTTTATTTGAACAAAACCTTAAAAAAGCTTCCTACACAAAAATTGGCATTTTTTCAAAAAATTGCCATAAATCCGAGAGTCGCAGGAAGTCGCAGGAAAAAATTTAGTATGATGTTCTAGACAGACACACAAGAAAAATATACTAAACCCCTATTTTAATTGAAGGAATTAAAAAAAACGGACCCCGGACCCGAAACACCTAAATTAAAATAACTTATATAACTATACCATTTAATTAAATACCAATGGACAAAATTTTATAATAATATATTCACAGAATGAACACGGCCATCGCAATTTTATAGCTAAAAAATGTCATTTAAGGCATTGGAAAATTTTTCTATTTTAAATGTACCGTTATTCCGTTCTAGCTTATTAATTCGGATTATTTTATACGGACTTAAGTACTCTCAACACTCTACTTTAAAACTGCATTAATGTTTTAAAGTTCCCTTCAACTTCATTTTTTGATTTTCTGCGCGCTAGATCGGTATTTTTTCCCACTGTGCCGGGGTAGCTTCGGCATTTGATGGGGTACATTCGGCACCATAGTCATAGCCGGGTAATTGTCATCGCTATCAGTCTGGTTGAATTTCTGATCCTCTAAAAGCTCTATTTGGTTTTAATACGCCACACAATGTTTGAATTATAGGGCTTTATTTTCTAGCGGCGGACGTTTACATCTCAAGGTCGCACACACCATCAGAAATAGGGGTTTTCTATCGCATTTTCGTCAATACAAGCACGTTTGATCTTATACAGTATAAACTTGATAATCCGGACCTCGACAATCCGGATTATTCGGTAATCCGGACTGCATTTCACAACCCATTGCGTATCCTATAATCCGGATTGATTGACCTATTTGACTCAAAAATCCGGATTGTAAAGATACGTTACTTTTTATTTTAATAAAAAAATCGTTGCAAATTTAATTGAAAATGGTACCTATTATATTCAAAGTTCATATTTTTGAAATGAATAATTTTCATTTTTAATAAAAACATAAAAATAATTAAATTATCACCAAATTAATATAAATTTAAACCAATTAATAAAACTCGATAATCCGGAAATCTCGGTAATCCGGATTGGGGTCTGCAATCAATTATCTGGATTAGCGCGTTTTTACTGTATATGCAATTTCGAGCCATATTTAAGGAATAGTTTTAAAGACAAACTCAAAATCATTTTAAGGAAATAATATTGCACAATCTGTATATGGCCGAATGTGCCCCACTTTGAAATGCCGAATGTACCCCGAATGTACTTTTTATAGTTTTTTTCATTTGTTTCGATCAGATTTGTAAAAACATTATATTTTTAAATATTTTTATAATTATACACATCGTAGTTAACCACTTTTTAATAATATTGTCTTAAAAATTTTAAAAGTTTTATACACGAAATACTTACGAAATGGAATTGAAATATTACAGAAATATCTATAAAAATACAAAAACCTATGTATCTAAATAAGCTTATTAGCTAGAAATTTCAATCTTTGTGTCAGTTATTTATTTCGATATTCGATACCTATGTATCGAAACTAGTGATGTACGGTGAGAGCTTCATATCGAAAACGCGATTGCCGAAGGTGCCCCAGTCTCCCCCTACCATTCGTTTTCATACTGATGCAAATGAATTCAATGCTATAAAACATCTGTCAGTATATTTTTGCAGCTCACTGATTTTTTTTCTTTTTTGCGTGTTAATATATTGGAGCAAAGAAATTTCGAATTAAAAATACATTCCAAACAAATTTGGTTACGTAACAGATATCTATGTATATACAAATATATATACTATATATATATATATATATACAGTATGTCAAGAATGAGTTTACACATTGAATAAATACACAATTTTCTCAACTTTATTAGAAATTAACATAAAATATTTGTTATTAAAGTTTTCTTTTTTTTTTTTGATTTTTTCATAATTGTATACATATGTACAGAGATAAAATGCAAAAAATAGCAAGTTCATTTTAAAAACATTAAAAAATATAACAAAAACAAAAAATATTCAATTTTAACATTGTCAATTATCTTTTTTCACAAGAAGTAAATGTTAAGGTATATAGTATAACAATAATATTATTGAACACACATTTCCATAGTTTTAATATTTGGTATGGCCTCCCTTTGCATCTACCACACATTGCAGACGTTTTTTCTTCGAGTGGACCAACTTTTGCAAGTCATAATTGTTCGGAATGTTCTGCCACTCATCCAATATTGAGGTTTTTATATTTTTTGGTTGCCGTTTAGCCACCTTTTTTCAAATAGACCCACAAATTTTCTATAGGGTCAAGGTCTGGGCTTTGGGCTGGCGTATCCAAAACTTTGCCACAGTTATAAAGAAGCCACATGCGCACTATATGTGACTTATTCTTAGGATCATTATCCTGACAAAATTTAAAATGTGGCTTGTTATCCCTGATGAACCCAAAGTTCACAGCACTGGTTACCAAGTGCTTCTTTAAAATATCTAATTATTGTTGTGCGTCCATAGTTGTTTCAATAAAAGCTAAGTCTCCCACGCCTTTGCTTGATATGCACACCCAAATCATTATTGACATTTTTCCTAATTTGACTGTTGGAATGATGTTCTGCCTTTCTAGTGCTGTTAAAGGCTTACGCCATACTCTGGTGGCCCATTGTTATAATATAACATAATTTTAGTTTCATCGTAAAATATAACGTTGTCCCAATATTCAGTCGGGTGTGAAACGTTCGTATGGGCGAAGGAATCTTTTTTCTATATTTGCTGCAGATAGTAAGGGTTTTTTTGCGTGCTACTCTTGATGAGTATTTCTTTTTAATATTGTCTGTCGAACTGTTTCGTGACAAACTATAACACCACGAGCTCCCTCGCAAGCGTCCTTGTGGAAAGTTGAGGGTTTTGTATAATTTTTCTAATAATTATGCGCTCAGTACGCTTATTAATTTTGGGCTTCGGACCACCACCTCGCTTTAACTCCAATCTTCCCTTGATTTCTGCTCGATTTAATACATTGTAAATTGTCTTTCGTGTAACTGAAAACATTTCCAACGATTCAATCACACTTTTTCCCAATTGGCGGTTGTAATATATCAACTAAATTACATCAAAGGATAACCTTTTGCCTAGCAATTTTTAATACTTTATTTCAGGGTACGTTGAGCACACTTAAAAATTTTGTCATAAAATGATTCCCAATATAAAACAAAAGAGTAGAACACGCAAAATCTAACGGTAGAGTACCGTTAAAATTCATATAGTGCTCACCATAAGAAAAAAGCACGAGATGTGTAGAGTTATTTGACACTTGTAAAACAGATCCATATTTGTTTTTGTTGTACTGTTCTTTTATTTTTCAATCAATTTTAATTTCGTTGACTCAAACTGTATGAAGTGAAGCATACAATTATTATAAATAACCAATAAATATGTGTTATTTAAAGCTTCTACATCTGAATATGTTTAATAATTATGCATGTGTAAAGTCATTCTTGGCATACTGTATATATAGGGACATTTTTAATAATATCAATATATGTTTGTTGTTTTAGCATCTACGTCACGAAGAGACTTCTTCACGTATTGTCTATCACTTATGCGTGCTCATACATCCGAACATCGCGATGCTTTGCCTGTCCTGGATATTGCTGCTTTACGTCATATCGCCTATGTTCTTGATGGTTTTATATATTATATGCGAAATGATACAAACTTTTATGAAAAGAATGAAGGTATTGTAGGTAATACTCTGAATACAAACGAAAATGATGACACCGATGATGAATTGTCGAATATAACAAGCGATGAACCATATGGCGATGTCGGAATGGGATCTTCTTCAAATGTGATGGGATCTGGATCGTCTCGACGACACACCTTTTTCACTCGGTCAGATTCGACACTGAGTCTTGGTTGTTTGGCTCCAGACGGTTTCGACTTGCCGCTCGATATCGCAATACCATTGGCAGACAAACCACATCTATTGCAGCCCAACTCTAAACGTCAGGACTTATTTGCCAACCTACCATTAATCATATCCCCCAATGAAGTAAATACCGCACAACAAGCAGATAAAAATAACTACAATATACTAGACTACCCACCAACAAAGTTAGGATTCTCGTCTTATTCTATGGCGAAAGCGACTACCAACCAATCACCTGTTTCGGAAGACACGTCTAATTCAGTTGGCGAAGAAGAAAACACTAATATGAATTCTATATCGAAATCATCAAGCCTACGAATGGTTACAGACGTTGCTGATAGTGCAGATCACAACAGTGTTGGTGGTAATATAGGAAATGTATACCTACAACTTAAGAAGAAACAATACTCGGATGATTCGAAATCAACAGATCAAGATAAAAGCGATAATATTGAGCGAATGGAAGTGGATAACATTGGTGAAAGTATAGAAAATATCGTGGACATTCACAACACAAGTCAAGCTGGTGTCATGGCTACAAGGCCAGATGTTATAATAGTTCCGAACAAAAATTCACGTGTTTCAGATAGCGAAACAAGCATGAATTCGAATGTCTCGAACACTACATCATCGTCCATTGCTCGCAGCGTCATTGTTAGAGCTGGTGGTGTATCTGGGCAAATTCACGAAGAACCTTCCACATCGCAGAAAGCTAATATTACATATGTTGTTCCAAATGACTCAACAAAGAATGCGGGCGCTCGATCTACTAAAATAACACCATTAATGTATCCTGCACGTGGGCAGTACTTCTGTCAGAAATGCGAATCGCACGATTCCTCTCCATCTTGGAACTTTTTACTTGGGCGATGGAAGCTTGCGCTAGATCTTTTCGGTAGAGTATTTATGGATGACGTCGGTATGGAGCATGGATCTGTTTTACCAGAGTTGCGTGGATTCCCTGTTAAGGAAATGAGATTCAGACGGCATATGGAAAAGTTGCGAAATGCTCAACAGCGTGATTTAATACTTTGCAAATTGGAGCGCAATCGTGAAAGTTTAATAATGCAAACGTTCAAAGAACTCAATTCCCAATTCGGTAGCCAAAACAGAAGGGTGCATCCCCCTCTTACGTTTAACAGAGTCAAAGTGACATTTAAGGATGAACCGGGTGAAGGTTCTGGAGTAGCCCGCAGTTTCTACACGTCCATTTCTGAAGCCCTTCTAGCCAGTTCAAAAATGCCGAATTTGGAGTCCGTTCAGGTCGGAAACAACAGTGGCAAATACGGTGTGCCATTTTCTAGTATACTAAGGAACAGAGGTGCGCCAGGTCGCGAACTACCCACTTTACAAAGGCGGGGCACTGGAAGCAAAATATTGTGGCGTACAGCTCGCGAAAGAAAGGCTCTTAACTTTTACGCTCGACCATATGTCTCCATATTAGACAATCCAGGTTAGTAGTGGCAGGAATAATTATAAATGTTTGTATTGCTACCATATTTTATTACAGATCTGCCTGGAGAAAATCCCAATGAACATTTATCTGTGCACTTGCAACAACTGGGAGAAAGACTGTATCCAAAGGTACAGTTTATTAAATTTTAAAATAATGTTCATTTTTTTCAAATTGTTTTGTTATGGTTCACTCCGCAGATATACTCATTGAATTCCACACATGCTTCTAAAATAACTGGAATGCTCTTAGAAATACCAACTCCGCAACTATTATCAATTTTGTCGTCTGAAGAAATGTTACGACAGAAAGTCAGCGAAGCCCTTGACATAATTACATTTAAACAAAAGTCAGATACAAACGCATCATCTTCCGCACAGTCGAAGAAGATGAATCCTGTTGTATTATTAGAGCCTTGTCATGTAGAGGATAACGAGCCCCTGTTCTACATGCCTGGAAAAAGAGGTTTTTATACACCTCGACAAGGTTATGGATCCTTTGAACGAATAAATGCTTTTAGAAATATAGGAAGGTAATATTTTACGAACAAAACACACTAGGCAATTTATAACTACAAAAGTTGTTTTTTAGATTAATTGGCCTATGTCTGTTGCAAAATGAATTACTGCCATTGTTCCTGCAAAGGCATGTTCTAAAATATATTCTTGGCCGTAAAATTAAGTTCCACGACCTAGCATTCTTCGATCCAGTTATTTATGAATCATTTAGACAGCTTATACAAAACTCACAAACGGAAGAGGGTGAAGAAGCCATATCTCGGATGGAGTTATTCTTTGTGTAAGTGTATAATTAGTTTGTGTAAATACATTATGAAATGCTTAATTGGAAGCTAAAATGAACGAAATGAATGAAATTTTCAATGTCCCAAATTTATAAACAATGGAACTGTTTTGACAACATATGATTTTATTTTGTAGGATCGATTTAATGAAAGAAGAAGGAGGCGGTAGTGTGGAATTGATCCCAGGTGGTAGAGAAATTCAAGTCACTGCTCAAAATCTTTTTGACTACATTAGACGCTATACTGAATATAGGCTAATCAAAGCCCAAGAGAAAGCGCTCGAGGTACACAGTGTATAGCTGACGAAAAATCAATTATATTTCATTAAATATTTTGATATTTACAGGCTATTCGAGACGGAGTTTTTGACGTTTTGCCGGATACTTGCATGCAGAGCTTAACCGCGGAAGACTTGCGACTACTTTTAAATGGAGTCGGCGATATTAACGTATCAACGTTGATCTCGTATACAACTTTTAATGACGAATCCAGTGAAGGTTCCGACAAATTATTAAAATTCAAGCGCTGGTTCTGGAGCATTGTGGAAAAAATGAATACTCTTGAAAGACAGGACTTAGTAAGATGAATCTGTACAATATTGTAAAACTATATTGCCAACTAAATGTTTTTATTTTTTAGGTGTACTTCTGGACAGGATCTCCTGCTTTACCTGCATCCGAAGAAGGATTTCAACCGTTGCCATCCGTAACTATTCGACCAGCGGACGATACTCATTTACCAACAGCCAATACGTGTATTTCTAGGCTCTATATTCCCCTGTATTCAAGTAAATCAATATTGCGTAGCAAATTGCTCTTGGCTATTAAATCAAAAAATTTCGGCTTTGTGTAAACTACTTTTATATTGTTTTCTTTTTATATTCGTAACAACAAGATGGAGTAGTAGTATAAGCTTTCAAAAATTATTTCCAAAACAAGAGTTATGTTATCAAATGAAAAATATTCGTTACCATTTTTCCTAATTTATAACAGCCGCAAAAATATTCATTCCTAAATCAGTAAAATTAAGAAGTTGGACTTTTTTCTTTTACAATTTTGAGACTTTATTTTTAACACGTCATCCCAATAAAATAACATGGATTTTTTTTAGTTTTAATAGATACAAATTTCCAATAAGATTCATTAATATTATATTCTATACATAAACAGACACCTAATAATGAAGTTATTACCAATATTAATCACAATAGCATTGATGTTATTATAAATATGCTAAACAAATAAAAAATATTCTGAATTAATTGAAAAAATGGATTGTTTTTTTAAGTGTGGGGGTTCTACGTATGTTGATAAGTTTGTCAATAGAAAAGAATCCCTTTTAGTCGGAAAAAAATTTCGAATAGATTTCAATTGTTATTTTTCAAATCTATTTTCGTCAACAAATTTTAATTGAGAAAATATAAAAATGTATTAAAAACAACAAAGTTTTCAGAAAAAATGGAAAACATGAATGAAAAGTAAATGGCTATGGGCTCTGACTATATTCAGGAGAAAGAGAATACTTTTTTCTATTTAAATCCATAGGTAATATACACAAATATGTTGAGATTTCGGTGGAAAAGGAGAAACAACAAATTTAAAAAAAAAATTCTGATGACATGAATAAAGAATAGTGTTGTATGAACGGGTTAATTCATGTAGGTAATTCTGAGAGCGAACTACGTTGTTCGAATGCTCGTCAGAACATGGCATTAAATAAGTACACTTGATTTAAAAACTAAAATAAATGAAATTAAACATGAAAAAAGTCTGTGATATAAGGTTGTTTAAGGCTATTTTCTCGTATTTTATCTTCTGAGCTTTCTATATGTATTAGATAGTTAAATAATGATTCGTCACTTTCTTCATTTTCGACTGAAACTTGTTCCAAAATATCGTCATCTGCCAGATTTCCAGTAACACCAACGTCATTATCAACATTTACGTATTCTTCAAAGGTAACGACATTCTCGGAATTAAAAGGAATACGTTGGAATTCGTTATTGATATTTACAATCGGTTCATCGGATACATTGTAGATCACATCCTTAACAAAACCGCAAGCTCGGAAGCTATTTTGAATACACGATTGGCTTATGTTCATCCAAGCTTTATAAGCCATAAGCATAGATGTATGTAGTGCAAATACACATTCTCTTTTCTCATCTATACAACTTACTAGGTGTGTAACCATATCTTTGCGGTATAATGTTTTAAAATTTTTAATTATACCCTTATCCAAAGGCTGCAGGACGGAAGTAGTGTTAGGCGGTAAGAACTCTACCTTAATATAGCTAAGATCGGGGTACCTGTTGTGTGCAGTGCAATTGTCATCGAATAAAACAATCTTTCTGTTTTGACACTTCATGCTATTGTCCAACATTTGAAGCCATTCGTTAAATATTTCAGTTGTCATCCAAGCTTTTTTATTGTACCGGTATTCTACTGGGAAAGTTCTTATGTTCTTAAAGCACCTGGGCTTTATAACATTTTTATGATATTATAATTTGTTTTGAGATGAAAAAATTACGAATTATTGAGGGGACCAAAATGCGTGCAAAATTTTTCGAAATATCGAGATTTTTTCAAGGGACCGACAGTTTGTTAGCGTGGTTTTATATTTGTCGGGATCGGTATCGGTGTTGAGAGTTTCTCTCTCTCTCAGTGGTAAATTGTGAATTGTGTTGGAAAACATTACCACAGGTAGGAACAAAAAAGTACGAAAAGGTACCTGAAATTCTACTTCAAATGATAATAAATCATAATTATCGATAAATATTGGCCAATATTTATACCAGTTATTTGCATAAATAATATATGTTATAATTTAAGCGTAAATGTATTCAAGAATAATAAAAAAATCTAATTTTTGTTTTGGTACGTTTATGTCAATTCATACCTTTTGTGAACAAAAAGTACGCTTGTTACAAAATTAAAAATAGCGCAACTCTAATTACTCTCTCAAGAGAGAGAAACTCTCAACACCGATCCTGATCCCGACAAATATAAAACCACGCTTACGAATTATCGAAGATTACGAATTATCGAAGTTCTACTGTACCTTTATAAAAAAAATGTACAGTCCAAAACACTTCCAACGACAGCCACGGTGACCGTCGAAATTGATCGGTATAAACGTTTTGCAATGTTTATTCATAAGGTTAACCGGCAAGATTCTGTAAGCGTCGTTGAGTGAAGTTCGTTTTATGCCGAGCGGTATAAACCAAGCCAAAGAAAATATAATTTCGGACAAACAACCAAGAAAAAAATGAAACATAGAAAGAATATATTCTAACTTCTAGTGGAAAAATTCTGTGAACTTTCTAATGGAAACACTTTGTGAACTATTAAGCATCTTTGATGCATACATGAAAAAAAAACTTGTCTAACAAAAACTTTTTGGTGTTACTTATAATTTCCTTTTTTTCGAGTGAACGACTTTGCTCAATGAACACCGTCGGTCACTGAACGACATTGTATTTTCTTCTACACCTTGAGTGTTGTTCACAGGTCCACTGACTTTGACCACCTGAACGGCGTCAAATAAGAACAATTTCCATGGAATGCGGTGCTTAAAAGATCAAATGCTGCAGTAGTGTTTTACGTATAGCTGGAGCGTCAGTAAATAATATGAAGCGACATTTAAAACCAAAGCACCCTCATAGACAACCGTGGATCTGGAAACCACAGAAAATAGCAAAGGTGTTTGGAGCAACAATTGCAGCGCAAACAACTGTGCTGCCCAATATAACGGAGTTATGCCATCGACCACCAACCATTAACAAAGTGGAGAAAATAGATAGGAAAGTCCTTCGAATGATTGTGAAAGGTAATCATTCATTCATGAACTGCCAGACCTTAATTGAACGATATAAGCAACTGGACGAGGTGAACGACGTAGTTCACTTTTAAAAAATGATCTAGTTCGTTCGATCACTGAACTGAACGAGATAGCCCAAGACTAGTGTTCAGTTGCTGGTGCAGCGCACATGCTAGATCAAATCGGTGTGTGTGTGTTTGAGAGTAATTTCAGATGTTTATAAACAGTTATTTTCTGTAAAGACCTAGAATTTTGTGCGTTGGTGAATTTATACGTTAATAGACAGTAATTTTCAAGAATAAACCATAATGTATTGAATCCGTGAACTTTTTTCTTTTTGATTTATTTTTTTTTGTGTGTTACAGGGGAAGAGAAGAGGTAAAATTTGATTTGTCGGTTGTCAGTTCAATTTTAATTTTATTATTCAATATTCTTCCTTAAGAACTACCTAAACTAATCTAACTTAGCCTAATATTATACACATAAGAGCACTATCTAAAATTCAACTAGGTCGTTCGACGTTATTCACCACAAAAGCAAAACACATGTAATTATATGAATAAAGGCCTATATAAGCCCTGATTTAGATTAGGCGAGTTTAGTTGCGGCCAAGGTAGATGTATTAGGTAGTCGCATCGACCCAGTTAATTGTAACATTGAATGTCAAAACAAATTGTTGTAATTTTTAATTCGCCTTAAAAAATTTATTAATTTTTGAAATTAAAATTGAAGTTTCGTGATTTTTTTCCAATTTTACTTCGAAAGAACTAAAATATCTAAAAATTAACAGGAATTTTATATGAGGGCTACATCAAAACTGGAAAGATTTTCGTGAAAGGTGTTTTAATTTACAAGAAATGATTCAATCCATGGTACAATAATACAAGGTAGGGCAGCTTGAGGTGAATAACAAAAAATGCAACTATGCACGTGTGGCCTCTTCTGCCAAAAATAAAATAAATATACGCAACAAGTGTTTGTGTTTATTTGACATACACCTAAGTCTGTTTTTACACGGTAGATTGGTTCCAGAAGAAGCCGTGTAAAAAAGACATTGATCTTATACATAAAGGGAATTCCCCTAAATTAGTGCTATTCACATTTGCTTTGACCAGTAAAAATTGTTTGTACGCGCTAAAGGGGAATTCACTTAAATCTTTAAGCTGGTGTTCGCAAACTATCGATGGTTTCAGACTTTTTTCTTTCATAAATACTTTTTTGTGATATGAACATACTTCGCAAAAATTAAATTTGACAAAAAAATTTAAGTACATAAAATTTCAAATCGTGCTAAATGGAATAAAATTAAATGGAATAATAATTAATTAATTTTCAAACCGTGTTATATCAAAACCGTGTAAAAAAAGACCGTGTAAAAACAGGTTGATTCATCACCATTTATGACATCTTTGAACTTTTTGCGGCCTCATAGCGATCGGCCCGATATTGGTGTGTGTAAATACCACCTCTGTGTACATACATTAATACAATTGCAGTCTTTAATCATTAAGATAGATGTGTAGGGTATTAAAATATTTTGTTCTGATTAGTTGAATTAAATTTGCCTAAATGTTGAAATGTCAAGGCGAATTAAATTTTATTTGCCTTGTTTACAAATTCTGACATATTATGTTACCAAAAAAATTGTTATAGTAATTCGTTCTCGTTTGAACTTGCTTCATAGACGCATGAAGGCAATTTGGTACAAGGCAAGGTATATTAAGAAGGTAACCGTATCAAACCAGCTGATGGTAACATTATATGTCATAACAATTTGTTGTTGTTTTTGATTTTTTTTTTTTTCAAACCCATTTCCAAACAAAAATTTAAAAATTGAAATACATTTGAAAATAAAGAATAAAAAAAGGATAAAAAGGCATAGCGGTAGGCTATGGAGATGGTATTTCTTTAAGAAGACCATGGAATCAAATACAAGACCTTGGGATCGAAAAGAAGATTTGGTTCGATAGGACCTTTTTGTCTTCTTTATACATTGTTTTCAAAAATTTCATGTGAGGGCATGACAAAACTACGTAAAGAATAGCTTAAA